CGGAAATCGGCCCGATTATGATCGGTGACCGATCGATCGGCTCACCTCTATTCCGTACTGCTGTAACAATGCAAATTTCCCCACTGCGGGATTAATAAAGGAATGTCTTATCTTCTCCCTGAGCATGCCGGGGTTTTCTCTGGATACTCCCACTTCCCGCTCACGGAAGTGGAACTTTATTTTTATCTGTGAAAACAGAAAAGATTCGACTTTTATTCAGGGTTCCACTTTATTCTGAAGCTAAATTGTGAGCTCACTTCAGGCTGTGGAGCAGCTGCTCCATGCAGTCCATTCATGAACCCGCTGCTGACCAGCTGCAGCTTTTCATAATGCAGCATTCTGTCTGCCAGCATCACTATCTTCGTCCTCCTCTTCGTTGTCTCGCTGCGGCGGTTTAAACGGCAGCAGGCTCTTCTTGTAACGGCTTCAGTTGACACATTAAAAAAACTAAACCTGAAGTCCTGGCGCCCCGCTCCAGATCTACGTCACGCAGAAGCTACTCATATCGGCTGCAGAGATCCAGCTCAGATGAATCTCTACATCATTAACAACAGAAAGGAGATGTAACATACCGTTCACTTTACCACAATCCAAAACAATCTTCTGACATTTCCACGCACTGATGGAACAACGGTAAGCCAGCGAGGTTACAAGCCAGGCTGCAGCTCCTGCTGAGGAAGCAGGAGGAGCACAGGGCATTGTGGGTTGACTCTTCAAAATAAAAGTGCATAGGCGACGAGAAAGATGGAACTGGAATTACATGTCAAACTTGACGATAAAACCGATCAAGTTAGAGGAACGAGATAAAAAGTCAGCTGTGAAGTGAGTGAGTTTCTCTCTAACTCAGACGGATCCAGGGTTTAAGGTTCTCGGATGGTGTTTTATTGTGAAATCCATCACGTATCGCAAGCACCATGCAACAAAAAGTTATGTTGCATCACCTGAGCAATTATCTTTGTTACACAGTCTCTCTGAGAACATGGTGACATGTCAGCATGTCAGCCCGATGCAGGGAGTTTCCGCAGGTCCCTTCATCATGGGGCGGTACCGGCCGCGGTACTGTCTCTGTACCCGCTGGTCCAGTTGGTGCCTGTCTCTACCCTCAAGAGGAAAGAGGGAGACAAACCCAGCCTGTCTCAGGGCAGCTCAGAGGCACATTGGCCAGACACACAACTCCCAGTCTGACCAGTTAACCTACCTTAAACTCAGCTTCAACTGAAACATAGCAGTAGGAAGGCTGGCTTTATATCACACAAAGACTGTTCCAAAGAGAACCATTGCTTATATGAGCAGAAATAAGAAACATTAAATCAAGTTACAAATTAACATGAGCTCAAGTTCCTGCTGGAATACAGCGCCTCATTGAGATTCCAAGCGATCTGTAACAGATCAATAACCCACCTTCATCACAAATGCAGAAAGGTGTCAATGTAACAAAGGAATAACTCCTGCCAGCTGCTCAACTATATTGTCCTAAAGACTCTGTTAGCTGCTTAACAAGGTGCCTTAATTACTGCTCTGAATGTTGCAAAAAACATTGAAAGCTCTTTACCAATGAACTGTTTCCTCTGATCATCCTTGAGATGTTTCTGCAGGTAAAATGGAGCCGCCTGTGGTAAACTCAGTTGACTAGATTGATTTGGAAAGGATCACATTTGTCTATGTAAGGTCCCACAGTTTACTGTGCAGGTCAAAGGTCAAACACCAAGCATGAAATCAAACCAACTGTCTGTAGACCTCATACACTGAATTGTCTTGAGGCAGAAATCCAGAGAAGAATCCAGAAACATTTCTGCTGCTTGGAGGTCAGTGAGCTGAACGGTGGAGGAAGCCAGAGCCAGCAGGACTCTTCCTGGAGCCGCTGCCTTCTGAACTGAGCCATCAGCTCAGAGCAGAAGGGCTTCAGTCAGGGAGGAGGCCAAGAACCTGATGGTCTCTCTGTCAGAACTCCACTCTGTGGGCTCTGACCTCAACCCAGGGATTCCTCCAATGTATTAAAAGTCAAGTGGGCTGCCAGGCATGAAATGAAAATATTTCTTTGTGAACAAAGCGTTATATGTGTGGCATGAGCGTTTACATGTCAATACACTGACTCTGTGTCTGTGCTGATAAAGTTAATGTGCTAACCAGTTAAACGGTCCATTAGTGGACCGGTGGTTCAGTCCATGTCACTCAACATGACAAGTTTTTTCTTTAAATCTTATTTTATTTTTTGTGATGACACAATGCATCACACTGTGCTATAAAATGCTTTCAGGCAGAGTTGCAGTGCGCAGTCATGCGTACATCAGGAAAACTCATCCCATAAAGCTTGTGCAACCAAAACAGTGTTTGTGGCGCTTATTAAAAACTCAATAGACACAAAATGGAAGAGCTACTAAAGCCAGATAAATTAATTCTCCATATTGGCCCCTCAGTATCCAGCAGAGCTGCAGTACAGGGGGTTTTATCATGCAGGGCCAGTCCAAAGTTGTATGAAGCCTTGAGCAGAATTTGATTTAGGGGCCCCTCAGCACCACCAACAGCATTTTATTATGGATTTAGAAAAATCTGGAACAGGGACCTACCTTAATTGGCCAACCTTAAAAGTAATCAGTGATAATTGTAGTTTACCAACATGTATTTGTTAACACAGCTCAAACTCAAAGCATGAAATTGTAGCAATGGTAAAACTTGGCAGCTCCTTAAAATCTTACATTTAAATGTTAATTTAAAATATATGCTGAAACCATTAAACCAAATTTAACAGCATTGATATTCTTGAATGTTAAATCTCTAAATATGTGCTAAAATGTTAGCATTTATGGGGCCCCTGAAGGCCTAGGGGCCTTACGTAGCCGCTTAGTTTATTTATGTCATAGGCCAGTTGTTAATGTGATCAGCATAACGTTTTTTTTTTTTTAGATCCACTAACTGCTGATTTAATTTTGATTTAAAAGAAGCACAAATAATTGATATTTTAGTTGTATTTTATTTGTTTTTAGTCAGCAGTGTCTTCCAGTAACATAATTACCCAGTAATATTTTTACATTTCCTGTCAACATCTTTTAATTCATGAACACGCTGGGGCACTTGTGGGCCGCCTTGGCGCCACGACCAGCAAGCTTAGCAAGTTTTCTGGAGGAAACCCTGCCAACCCCTTAGAGACAGCAGGTAGCTAAATGAAACTGGAGTGATATCCACAAACAGCAGAGCCAGAAGCAATAAGACAAAACCATTGAATATTGACAAACTTGTCTTCATTGTTGACATTGTGAAAGACATTTTATTCAATCACATTCAAAAACTCATGATCAGCACCTAATGGTGCGGAGAAAGGTCTGCTTACACACACTAAATCAGTAAACATGCTAAACCACTGAACAGGAAGAGCACGTCGCCATGGATACCAGTCTAACAAGCTGGGAACAAGTCACATATCCTGCCTAGAATGTAGTCTTCTGAATCTACAAGTCAGCTGGCCATCTATTTGACGGTTATACAGATCGACCAATCACATTTGCGCTGGTTGTTCTTCAGTGTAGCATGGTAACAGATTCCACCCACATCTACCCAAAACTTTTCACACAGACATTTCAAACAACAAAGTGTGGTGCAGAAATTCCATCAAAAATCTGTGCATCTTAATAAATTTCACAAGTCATAAAAGAAAATATATAAAGTATAAAAGTATGAAAAGCATTTCTGTTGGTTTGTGCGGCCATGCAGTATAAAGTGTGATAAAAGTCAAGCAGTTCAGTTCAGTAGTCACCCTGAGGGCTGGTACTGATCAACACATTGTACGGCAGACTGTCTGCATTAAGCAATACAATAAAATAAAATATATGCATTAAAAACAAGGTGGTAATGAATAAAATAGAACTCCAAAGGCCTGTCTCCTAAACAAAAACACTGTTCTGAAATGTCTCCAACATATGGCTTTAATAACCTCAGCTAGTGGAGGCGATTGGTCATCTCCCATCAGATATCCACACTAAAGCATTAATCACTTTTATTATTTATGTATGGATATATATATATATATATATTGCACACAAGTATTTTTTAAGACAGCCCAGAGAGCCAAACTGACTGGGAGGTGGGGGAGGGGGTTGCTGTGGTTACAGAGGCTTGTAGCAGGCGGCCGGTTGCCCCATCCTCAGATCCTCTAGAATCTGGTTCAGCTTTTTCATCCACAGATTTCTCTCATCCTTGGTGTCAGCACTCAACCAGTTTCTGCAAAGGAAACCAAGAATCAGTCAGCCAGACATGTTGAGGAAGGTACCAGGCACCTGGGGAGGTCAGAGCGACAGGAACCTACTTGGTGACACACATGGTGTCCATGCACTGACTGACTAGAGTCTCCTTGTCGTCCTCTCTCTGGGGTCTGACTGTGATGAGCTCGAATGTGTTTGGTCTGGCACAGAACTCTCGGTTGGCTGGCTCCACCTTCTCACTGGTGCAGTTGGCCAGGTTGATGCGACCAATAGGATTCTGGGAGGAAGAGAACAAACCATCAGGACTTTCTGATAGGGAAGCACAATCAACACTTTTACTCCCTTTAACGATACAGATATCTGAAGTTTGGAATCGGCCCATACCAATCTGATACACAAAAACAGTCATGTATTGACTTAAAACGTTTTTTGCTCCCCCGCCTAAAGACGGACATAATGTAATGAATTACAAATGTATTTAATAACTTTCCACCAGTACATTACACTTAAATACAAGCTTCAAATAAATTAAAGATGTAAAAACATATTTAATTTGTTTCTCAGTGCAATTAGGAGGATAACAGCCAATGTAAATAATACAAAGAAACTGACTAAAACAATAGGCATTTTGTCACAGAGACCCCAGCTACAATTTTTTTTTTTCAATGTCAGGACCGATGCAGATAAAAAATTAACCCCCACAGCTCCTAGTGATCAATAAATTATTGATTTCATCTCTATGGATTGGTGCATCCCTTTCTGATGCTGTTTTTTCACTAAACACAAGAAGTTATGCAGAGTGATACCTTCCGCTTCTCGTCATCAGGATAGGTCCAGTAAGAGATGCAGTATCCTGACAGAACACACCATCTTCTGTGCCACGCTCCAAACCCACTTACATCTTCAAACATGGTCTGCAGAAACAACGATCTACTGTGATCAGAACTAGAGTGGTACAAGTAGACCTGATGGGTTTCCACTTAGCTCTCCTACTCACCAAGAAGCCCCTCTCCTCCACCGTGGAGCAGCCCACTTCACACTGCAGCTGGAGGTGGATGTGGCCCTCCAGAGGGCACAGGAACGGCACCTTCAAAACAGGGACAAGCCCAGACATCAGTCAGCTTAGAAAGGATGCATGGTTGGAAGTGGTCACAAACAGGTGTGTGACAGTGAGTTGGTAAAGTATTTCAACTATATTACGCAGTAAATGTTTTATTGAAATTCCTCTGTGCACATTTCCACTGAAGGGTACAAAACCAGGCACTTCATGTAAATGCAGCTAACCGATACAGTACTAGTGCATAAAAAACATCTTGAAATAAAGCCTCGACTGAAGGGTCCCAACACAGAATGGGCGTGGCTTGAAGTCAACCAACCAATAGCACACAGCTGATCCGCCTCAGGAAGTGGAAATAAACCTGTAGGTGGAAGCCAGGCTCTTTTGATTCCAGAATTACAGCAGGATAGAACCCTTAACAATTCAACCTTTAATTCACTAACAAAAAAAACGAAATAAGCTGGTTAGACAAGTTAAAAATAAAAGGTGTGTGAAGTTTGAACTGGGAGATGACTGAAGTAACATTGTGAACTTTAATCAGAAATGTTTAGCATCCTCCCAACACAGACCTCCTGCTTTGGGCTGGATCTAAAAAGTACCACCTTACAAATTTTCAAGATTATTTTCGTTCATTTTTTTTGTTCTTGGCATATGCATATGATGTAAGCAGGGTTTCCCCCAGAAAACTTGCTAAGCCCGGTGGTCGG